CTGTAATCCTGTATAGTTTCATTTAAGTTTTGTTACAGATATGCTTCGTACATCTTCGTACATGTTGCTTAAATTAAAAAAAAAACCTTTGTAAGATAAATAGTGGATAATATCAGATTCAAACCTTTGTAAGATAAATAGTGGATAATTTCAGATTCAAAACAATGTAAGATAAATAGTGGATAATTTTAGATTCAAACATTTGTAAGATAAATAGTGGATACTTTCTGATTCAAACCTTTGTAAGACAAACAATGGATACTTTCAGATACTTTCCTTTGTGAGTTAAGGTATGTCACTCGTGAAATTTGTTATATCAAGGATTTTTTGAGAAGTATGTTTTGGATAAGTACTCATATAGTATGACTCAAAATCGCAGAGAAAACAGGGGGTCAGTGTGCATCTGACTGAGCTAAGGTACAATTAAGTTGACCTTTTTGCACTTAAATTTTAACTCTTTGGTTAATCACTTTAACCCTTATCATATTTTATCAGATGTAGCCATGGCAATAAATATAATCTTATTTTACGTAAAAATAGTTTGAATAATATTTATCATTGAACAAATCTTGCAAATTAATGCGCGTAAATTATTGTGTGACCTTTTTGCACTAAAAAAGTAACATATTTGGGGTATTAAAAATCTAAATAGGCAATAAAATATTTTCTTGTATTAAACTTTTTACGACTTAAGTGCTGATCAGTCACAAGTATCGAGTAGTTTTAAATAATGAAAGAAAAAGTTGAAGTCAGTGATGTAAATTTTGAAATATTGGTCAAAATATGCGATTTTCAGGCCAAAAACGGTGTAAATTTTATCTTGACTTCTTTAATATATCTTCATTTCTCGGCAAAGTTTGTTGAGGGAAGGTGTAAAATTTGTTATAAGAATATAAATTAAGACCTATACTTAATATTCCTAGCATATCATAACGGAAAATATTCTCTGAGTACAATGTAAAAGTATGTGAGGCCAAAGTTCCAAGACATGAAATTTAATAAATGTGCAGGTTTGCAGAATTTTCTGCTAAATATCCTTCCACCACAAGAAATAGTCCCTCATAAATCTTGCTTCTTTATGAATTTTTGAGCAGTTTTTTCATTGAATGTTGAACAATTTACATTGTTTCATTTAAATATGTTATGAAAATTGAATTTTAATAAATAGTTTTGAAGTAAGAGGTTCTGTCTGAACTTTTCTAAAAAGCTGACGAGTGACATACCTTAAATAGTCGCTACTTTCACATACTAACCATACTGTAAATCACTTAATTTTCGCGACACTCTTTTTTTCGCGAGATATGTATTTGGTATTTATAAAGTATTAAAATGGTATTTCAAAATTTTCATCAATTATGGTTTTTAGCCTATGTAATCTATACCTATAAAAACATACACAAGAATAAAATTCTCTCGAGAAAACCGAAGAATTACATGAAAATAAAGTTCTCGCGATTAAAGAGTGATTTACACTAGATACAATATCATTGAGGTAATGGGTGGGTACTTTATTACTAACCTTTGTGAGATCAGGTAGATACTTCTTATAAATGGGGGATACTTCATATAAATGATGGATACTTTCAGATACTTACTTTCGCACTAATCCCATATGACTGGTATTAATTTTATTATATTTCTTGGAAAATGGATAGGAATGTTTAATTCGAAATTATTTTCTTTAATTAATGTGTGAAGTTTTTACATTTTCTTCTAAAATTACATGAAAAGTTTTCTGTAAAATCCATTCATTAGCATTGAATACTTCAAAATTTCGTGTAGGTATTCTATAAGTATAAATAACTAAATTTCTATACGAAAAATTCGCAGTTATATTAACTTTAGGCTGTCCAAGGGTTTAACCGCATTAAAACAGTGGAGATAGTTTTTTTTATCTCAATTTGTAAAGTATTTATATAAATACAGCCATTTCGCGAAGAAGGTATTCTCATTAGATGACTTCGTTGATCACCTGGCGGACAAACAATTTTCCTAAAAATTGCTCAAAAATCGCATCGGCAAGTGATAAACAATTTTCATGAACTTCTTGTTACATAAATCAATTAATCGTATCTTAGTGTATCTGAAGTTTCTTGGAGCAAGTCTGCGTTTTACTTCTAAAATGTATTTCATGAGAACTTCAACCTACCCACATACACATTTTGTATGATCATGCAATTCGCACAAAACTCAAAATCGCTCCACTCTGTCACTGAGTACTTCTATCTATAAAAGAATGATCAAAGTTAATTATACATTAATGGAAGGAACTTATAAGATAATAACTAATCCGAGTCACGGAAATATAAATGTTTTCTCTGAACAGGAAATGAGATCAGGCAACGAGAGGTCACAAGTCCAGCGACAGATGAATCAAGCAATCCAGCCACCGACAATTCCTTTTCTCCATCTTACAGTCCAGCAACAGACGAACCAGACAGTTCAGCGACAGACGAACCAGACAGTTCAGCGACAGACGAACCAGACAGTCAAGCAACTGACGAATCAGACAGTTCAGCAACATATGATTTTTTCTCTCCATCGGAGAGTCCAGTGACAGATGGATCGAAAACGTCAGCGACAAACGAATCGGACAATTCAGCAACAGACGAATCGGACAATTCAGCGACAGACAACTCGGACAATTCAGCGACAGACGAATCGGACAATTCAGCGACAGACGGATCGGACAATTCAGCAACAGACGAATCGGACAATTCATCAACAGACGAACCGGATAAGTCAGCAACAGACGAATCGGACAATTCAGCGACAGACGAATCGGACAATTCAGCAACAGACGAATCGGACAATTCAGCAACAGACGGATCGGATAGGTCAGCATCAGACGAATCGGACAATTCAGCAACAGACGAATCGGACAATTCAGCGACAGACGAATCGAACAATTCATCAACAGACGAATCGGATAAGTCAGCAACAGACGAATCGGACAATTCAGCGACAGACAAATCGGACAATTCAGCAACAGACGAATCGGATAGGTCAGCAACAGACGAATCGGACAATTCAGCAACAGACGAATCGGACAATTCAGCAACAGGCGGATCGGATAAGTCAGCAACAGACGAATCGGACAATTCAGCAACAGACGGATCGGATAAGTCAGCAACAGACGAATCGGACAATTCAGCGACAGACGAATCGAACAATTCATCAACAGACGAATCGGATAAGTCAGCAACAGACGAATCGGACAATTCAGCGACAGACGAATCGGACAATTCAGCAACAGACGAATCGGATAGGTCAGCAACAGACGAATCGGACAATTCAGCAACAGACGAATCGGACAATTCAGCAACAGACGGATCAGATAAGTCAGCAACAGACGAATCGGACAATTCAGCAACAGTCGAATCGGATAAGTCAGCAACAGACGAATCGGACAATTCAGCGACAGAAGAATCGGACAATTCAGCAACAGACGAATCGGACAATTCAGCAACAGGCGGATCGGATAAGTCAGCAACAGACGAATCGGACAATTCAGCAACAAACGAATCGGACAATTCAGCAACAGACGGATCGGATAAGTCAGCAACAGACGAATCGGACAATTCAGCAACAGACGAATCGGACAATTCAGCGACAGGCGAATCGGGCAATTCAGCGACAGATGAATCGGACAATTCAGCGACAGACGGATCTGATAAGTCAACGACAGACGGATCTGACAATACAGAGAATGACACTCCTTCTTCAACGGAAAATTCTTTAACTGAGATGCCTCGGCCTTCTTCATCAAGTAAACCATCAACTGAAATGGCTCGCTCTTCTTCAAGCCAACCATCAACCGAGATGCCACGCCCTTCTTCCTCGAGAAAACTATCAACTGAGAAGCCCCGTCCTTCAAGTAAACCAGCAGACGAGGTTTTTCCTTATTCATCAGAAATGCCAGCAACTGGAGAGGTTTCCACTTTTCCATCCGAAGTACCAACAGACGAGTTTTTCCCATATCCATCGACTGATGAAGTTTTCCCTTATCCATCCGAAGTGCCATCGACTGGTGATGTTTCCAACTTTCCATCCGAAATACCAACGGACGAGGTTTTTCCTTATTCATCAGAAATGCCACTCACTGGAGAGGTTTCCACTTTTCCATCTGAAATACCAACAGACGAGTTTTTCCCATATCCATCGACTGATGAAGTTTTCCCTTATCCATCCGAAGTGTCATCGACTGGTGATGTTTCCAACTTTCCATCCGAAATACCAACAGACGAGGTTTTTCCTTATTCATCAGAAATGCCACTCACTGGAGAGGTTTCCACTTTTCCATCCGAAATACCAACAGACGAGTTTTTCCCATATCCATCGACTGATGAAGTTTTCCCTTTTCCTGAAGATCACGAGCCTGGATCCGATGAGGGACAACGTCACCGGAAGCACCAGAAACACCACAACAAGCACAAACACCGCGTTCACAAAAAACACAAACAAGCACCACAATAACCACAAACCAAAGAAATGGCATAAAAATTCGTGCATTACTTTGTATTCTTTTTAATATGGTAAATTCAAGGATGTTTGTTTTGTTTTAATTTCTGTCCGAAAGGCGTTGAATATTCCTTTGCATGATTTCAAAGGTGGGATCTTTTTTAAAATGTTTAATTTCTAAGTACCAAGGAAATGTGATCTGACTTACCCTTTTGCAACGTGATTAGCCCTTGGTGTCAAACAACCTCAAATTCTTTTTTTGGGAGACCTTATCTTCTGATTGTGGTTGTTTTAAACTACTAGTACATTAAATTCCAGCTTAAATGTTTTCCCAACTTGCCAGAAAAACCAACATTATAATTAACATTTGGTATTGTACTAAGGTTGGGATAATTTTTATATCTATTCAATTCGGCATTAATCTATATAGTCATTACATGGAAGTAATTAGAAAAAATAAATTTAAAATCTTTAATGGAATATATTAAAAAGTTACAAAATGCTAATACATGTAATCTTATGAAATAAAGTTCATCACAAAGTATGAGATACGAGTGTAATATTTTTGGTTAATATTACATAAAATTTTAGACGTACACATATAATATAATATACAGATCAAGCAAATAAAAAAGATGCATAAAAAGACGAAAAAATTATCAAGTAAAAGATTAGAAGTCAGAAAAAGTCATATTAAGATGAAAAGCACCTACTAAAAAATTCAAAAATTGCACAATGGGTAAAGAGAAACTCTGTAGGTATAGATATATGTACGTATCGCCCTATGAAAGATAATATATACATGACGTGATAGACAGTTACGGAAACGGAAATTAAAGATTCAAACTATAACATAAAAATATTTGACACTAGATATATTCCTAAAAATCCACTCTAATATCGTCTTTTCAGCATATATACATGTAACTTATTAAACATGTTGTATGTTAAAATATGGTTGTTTAAGTTAGCATATCATTTCAAGCTAGCGTATAAATCTTATGCCATGGAGATGGGAGAACAAGGCGTGCTAAATGCCTTTAGTTTCAGATATATAAAAATCATATTCAATTTGTGAATTTAGCATTTAGAGTAAAGTTCTCATTATTGAAATTATGATAAACAAAACTTCTGAGGAAAATTTTCTCTCGAGCGCCTTCAAAAATATAACTGTCTCTTTTTATATTTATCAAAACACGTTTGAAATCACATTTTGCAATTGAGGATGAGTTAATACTGATGCTAAAAATTACACGGGCATTGAATATCAGCGAGATTGAAATTTTCATCTTGAATTTACCATCAAACGCCATTCTTTATGTAACTTACATTATAAAATTATGACTGCATTCAAATATACCTTTCTATGGTACAAAAAAATGTACGTGCGTCTTAAATAGTATCCTCTTTAACAAATGAACAAGCAGGTGTATGCCTATGTATGCTAAAAACTAATCAATGACATCTATTTCCCTTCATATAATAAACCAGCTATACAAGCAGTCATGAAGCACGCCACATTTCCCGCAATCATGGCCCTGATGACAACCTGGGCAAGAGCTGACTTTCGATTTGGCGCCATTGCACCTAAGGCGCCAAGCATCACCCCGATGGAAGAGAAGTTTGAGAAACCACAGAGAGCGTATGTGGAGATTACAACTGACCGGTCCTGTACAAATAAGACAAAATTGAAGTTTAGTATATAGCTAATATCAATAGAATATTAATATTCAATTAGTTACATATTGCATTTACATATAGAAATGTTTAGCGTTTGTTTTGACTTTGAAGCATATACAAGTATTCAAAATATAAAAATCATATAAATCCTTTATCCAAATATTTGTTTAAGTTACAATTCAAAATGAACATCTGCTCATGTAGGTCGGATCAAGTTAATTTTACGAGTTTTAAGATTAATTTCTATGTTCGTGTAGATTATGAACCTTCCTAGAGGCAATTGAAATTAAATTAATGAAATTTGAGCGCTAACATCTCGTGAAAATGATAAAGTCATCAGCACCTGAAGTATCCCTCCAGTTAATGTATGGTTAAAATCCTCGTAAACTATGTCACTTCCTTCAAAATGCCACATCCCCGTAAAATTGGAATCCTTGGTCGGCAGAGATTCATACCTTAGATTTAATTGTAAAAGTAAAGTTTGCTCTTTATTGCATACTAGTATGTAAAATACATTTATTTAATCATTTATTCTTTGAAGAAAAAAAGAATTTCTGTGAATAATACACATTTAATAATCTACGAGGAAAGTTATCATTATCTTAATGAAATTAAAACTTATCTTAAATTCAAAACAATCTCCTCAGGATGATCTACGAGCATCATATTTAAAAAATCGTGACATGTGACCGTACCACAAGAAATAATAGTAGTGGCTACTACGTGAGATTATATAAATCGTGTCATGTGGTATATTTTATCATGTGACCATACCACGTGAGATTCTCCTGATTATTTATGAACACAGAGAGCTTTGTGTAGGCGTAAAACTCATTGATAAATGTCTTGTATCCAATCAGCTTAGCGACATCAAAGCAGTCCGTCGCCTCCACCCCCATCAGGAATGCTACGGGGTAGAAAACGTAGGAACAGAGAAACTACAAAAAAAAAACCATACAAACAAAAATGGCAATATGCAATTAGTCATGTCAAAACCTTATAATGGGATAACATATAAAACTACTAACTACTAGCTCGCTGATAAGAGAAAACTTTAAACCACTGGCGGATTTCGAGGGGGGGGGGGGGGCAGGAGGCCCGGGCTCCCCTTTTGTGTCAAAAATATACATTTGTACATAAGAAGATTTAATAAATCAATTTTTTGGTGTGGCCGTGGGCTCCTACCCCAAACTGGTCGGGCCCCCCTTTTCAAGATTCCTGGATCCGCCACTGTAAACCCCCTCCTCCCCTGAGTCCAAATACATTTAGCAGGGTGCAGAATGTCACAGGGAAGTCCTTATAAAACTACGTTCTAATTTTACTGAGGTTTCAGATTTAAAGTTAAATTATAATTAAACAACAATAATCAAACTACTGAAAATTAGTCACTCTGATTCACCAGATATGCATATAGGAGACGACGGATATCGTTATCATTTTCTTATTAAGAAAATAATTATCATTAGTCTTGGACTTTACGTATACACACAACAGTTACACAAGAAGATTTTCATGGTTCCCTTACATATGCAAACTCGGAAATACCTGAAATGTGAGTTCGTCGCCGGGTTTCTCCATGCCTATACGGTTACCAAGCCAAATCAGGGTCTGGTTTACGAATTCGATGAGAGCAATGAAAGCGATGAGATTGACTGCTATGTTGGCGATGAGAGATATGGACTGCGAGGCCCCTTTAGATGCCGCCTCGATGATATTCCTTTCCTGTCTGAAAAAAAGACACAATAGCCATCCTAGATAATTGTACTTGAAGGTAGAATGGCATCCGCTCCTAAGATGGTTTTTGTCTGTATATTGACATTTCCTGACAGGAGGTGGAGATAAAAATGATAATAGACATTCGGAAAAAAAATATCAAACGGGAAAAAAATTAAGAGAAATCCTCTGTTGGACCTCCTTATTCGGAAGCCATTGCTGATCTCCTATACCTAGGCTGTTGCCATAATGAATTTGTAAATGTCATCTCCACCTTGAGGTGAGATATTGTAGTCTTCCTAATGATCCTATTGCCAAATAGTTGACCTCCTATTGACCATGATGTCATATTAATGTTATCCTTCTTACTCTGATGCCATACTGTAGACTTGTATTGACCTTGACACTATATTGTATACTACTACTGACCTTGACACTATATTGTAGACTACTACTGACCTTGACACTATATTGTAGACTAATACTGACATTGATGCTATATTGTAGACTACTACTGACTCTAACACTATATTGTAGACTACTACTGACCCTGACACTATATTGTAGACTTCTGCTGACCTTGACACTATATTGTAGACTACTACTGACATTGATGCTATATTGTAGACTACTACTGACTCTAACACTATATTGTAGACTACTACTGACCTTGAAACTATATTGTAGACTTCTGCTGACCTTGACACTATATTGTAGAATACTACTGACACTGATGCTATTTTGTAGACTACTACTGACTCTAACACTATATTGTAGACTACTTCTAACCTTGAAACTATATTGTAGACTTCTGCTGACCTTGACACTATATTGAAGACTACTACTGACCTTGACACTATATTGTAGACTACTACTGAACTTGACACTATATTGTAGACTACTACTGACCTTGACACTATATTGTAGACTATTACTAACCTTGAAACTATATTGTAGACTTCTGCTGACCTTGACACTATATTGTAGACTACTACTAACCTTGACACTATATTGTAGACTACTACTGACCTTGACACTATATTGTAGACTACTACTGACCTTGACATTATATTGTAGACTACTACTGACCTTGACACTATATTGTAGACTACTACTGACCCTGACACTATATTGTAGACTACTACTGACCTTGACACTATATTGTAGACTACTACTGACCCTGATGCCGTATTATAGACTATTATTGACCCTGAGTCTATATTGTAGACTATTACTGACTCTGATGCCATATTGTAGCTTACTACTAACCCTGATGCTATATTGTAGACTACTATAGAAACTAATGCCGTGTTATACATTAATATTGACCCTGTTGCTATATTGTAGATCTCTTGCTGACCCTGCACTGAATTGTACACTTCTACTGACCCTGACGCCATATTGTAGCTTACTACTAGTACTAACCCTGATGTTATTTTGTAGAATATTACTTACCCTTATGCTATACTGTGGACAACTACTGAAACTGATGAAATATCGTAGAATACTTCTGACTCTGACGCTATATTGTAGACTACTACTGACCATGATGCTAAAATGTAGACCATTATTGACCCTGACGCTAAATTATAGACTATTACTGACTCTGACGCTATATTGTAGACTACTACTGACTCTGACGCTATACTGTAGACTATTACTGACTCTGAAGCTATATTGTAAACTATTACTGATTCTGACGCTATATTGTAGACTGTTACTGACCCTGACACTATATTGTAGACTATTACTGACCCTGACGCTATATTGTTGACTAATACTGACCCTTAGGCTATATTATAGACTATTACTGACCCTGGGGCTATATTGTCGACTATTACTGATTCTGACGCTAGATTGTAGACTATTACTGACCCTGAGGCTATACTGTAGACTATTACTGATTCTGACGCTATATTGTAGACTTCTTCTGACCCTGACGCTATATTGTAGACTATTACTGATCCTGACGCTATATTTCAGACTTTTACTGACTCTGACCCTATATTGTAGACTGTTACTGACCCTGACGCTATATAATAGACTACTACTGACCCTGAGGGTATTTTATAGACTATTACTGACCTTGGGGCTATATTTTAGACTATTACTGACCCTGACGCTGTATTGTAGACTACTACTGAACCTGAGGCTATGTTGTAGACTATTACTGACCCTGACGCTATATTGTAGACTACAACTGATCCTGACTCTATATTGTAGACTTTTTCTTACCCTGACGCTATATTGTAGACTACTACTGACCTCGACGCTATATTATAGACTATTACCTACTCTGACGCTATGCTGTAGACTATTACTGACCCTGATGTTATATAATAGACTACTACTGACCCTGATGCTATATAATAGACTGCTACTGACCCTAAGGCTATGTTATATACTATTACTGATCCTGAGGCTATATTGTAGATTATTACTGACCCTAACGCTATATTGTAGACTATTACTGACTGACCCTTTATTGTAGACTACAACTGACCCTGACGCTTTATTGTAGACTATTTCTGACCCTGACGCTCTATTATAGACTACTACTGACCCTGACGCTATATAATAGACTATTACTTAACCTTGACGCTATATTGTAGACTATTACTGACCCTGAGGCTATATTGAAGACTATTACTGACCCTGAGGCTATATTGTAGACCTCAACTGACCATGATTCTATATTGTAGACTATTACTGAATATGACGCTATATTGTAGACTATTACTGACCCTGACGCTATATTGTAGAAGTCTACTGAACATGACGCTATATTGTAGACTTTTACTGAATATGACGATATATTGTAGACTATTACTGACCCTGACGCTATATTGTAGACTTTTACTGACCCTGACGCTATATTGTTGACTACTACTTACCCTGACGCTATCTTGTAGACTATTACAGATCCTGACGCTATATTGTAGATTTTGACTGACCCTGACGCTATATTGTAGACTATTAATGACCCTGGCGCTATATAATAGACTACTACTGACCCTGAGGCTATATTATAGTCTATTACTGATCCTGGGACTATATTGTAGACTATTACTGGCCCTGACGCTATATTGTAGATTATTACTGACCCTGACGCTATATTGTAGAAGTCTACTGAACATGACGCTATATTGTAGACTATTACTGAATATGACGCTATATTGTAGACTATTACTGACCCTGACGCTATATTGTAGAAGTCTACTGAACATGACGCTATATTGTAGACTTTTACTGAATATGACGCTATATTGTAGACTATTACTGACCCTGACGCTATATTGTAGACTTTTACTGACCCTGACGCTATATTGTTGACTACTACTTACCCTGACGCTATCTTGTAGACTATTACAGATCCTGACGCTATATTGTAGACTTTGACTTACCCTGACGCTATATTGTAGACTATTAATGACCCTGACGCTATATAATAGACTACTACTGACCCTGAGGCTATATTATAGTCTATTACTGATCCTGGGACTATATTGTAGACTATTACTGACCCTGACGCTATATTGTAGACCTCTACTGACCATGACGCTATATTGTAGACTATTACTGACTCTGACGCTATATTGTAGACTATTACTGACTCTAACGCTATATTGTAGATCTCCCAGCTTTAATCTATGTCATCTACAAATTTCTCACCCTGACGCCATATTGTAAACCTCCTTCCCTGCCCTGGATCGCCGGGTCTCGGGGTAAAACAGTTTAGACATAGCCAGTGCTGCCGGAGCAGACATCACAGATGCAGACAAAAGATGGTTGGCTGGAACCTAATAATGATCATTTTATGTTTGCAAAATATTGATTTATAAACAAGAAAGCTCCATTGCGAATACTTAAAATCCCATTACAGATTTTTGAATAAAGATGTTTTAAATATTTGTTGCACAACAGTGTCACATAGGTCCTTAAAATTTTCTTTCTATGTTTTCTAAGTAATGTAAAAAAAACATTGTAGTATACAGTGACACACCGAATAGAAATATGATTTTAAGTGACCCTGTGTTTTCAGCCCTAACCTTTGTGAGAGATTACCCCACTCTTTAACAGACAATGCTGTACCTTGTATAAGATGTAAGCCGCCATGACACTTCCGGCAATGGTAGCAAACCCTCCGGTACAAATGGCGTGCAGCTCTGATCTGGTCATTTTGGAAAGGAAGGGGCGGATCAATAAGGGAGCTTCACTCTTCAAAATATACAGTAATCCACGTTTTTTTAATCATTTTAAAGTTGTTCGAACTCTTTGGTTTTCATTTTCTTTGAAATTATAGTGAATGAAAATTATAAACGTTTTTCTACAGGAAAACATGGATAAAATTATCTTAAATCCGATAATTTTTTTAAAACTGTATATCCAGTTGATTTAAATTGCATTGAATTAAGTCCTTTATGACTTGTTGAAAATGTTTACTTAGCTCTCGGATTGTATTCGCTATAAATGTGTATTTTTATATTCCAGGGGTCCGTTTTCCAAAAGAACTTAACGACTAAGACCAAAATTCAATTCTGTTTATAACTTTTTAATTTACATCACGTTGAAAATGGTTTTAATCTTTTTAAAATGGAATGTAGTTAGATATTTTTACGCTAGCAATTTTAAACGGAATCATAATTTTTGCAAAATTTTACAATCAACTTAAGTTTTCGGTCTTAGTCGTAAGTTCTTTCGTAAAACGGGCCCCAGAGCTATAACTTTCTCCGTCTATTGAGAAAATATTAATTTTGCATCAATTAATAATACAGGAATTAAAGCGCTAGTGTCGGTCCGTCCGGTATTTCCGTAATACAGGAATAAACGCGCTAGTGTCGGTGATATATTTCCGTTTCCCATAATAAATGACACTCAGCAAATGTAAAAGAGAAAATTCAATTGATTTCTGGTTTCTAGAAAACCGCAGACTAAATGTCAATTTGTGATACATACACACCGATATAATATTATGCGTGCTATACATGTATATATTACACTTTCAACCAAATTAGTTGAATCTGATTTATCAGGGAAGTAGCATCGTTTTTTGAAAGTGGGGGGGGGGGCAGCCAGAGAAAAAAAATTTCAACTTACCTGAAAAAACTTGACAAGCAAAAAAAAAAAAAGGAAAATTTCCCAACTCGAAAATCCTATTAATTTCGTTGGGGGGGGGGGGGGGGGGGGGAGTAGGTTATGACTAATTTCAGTACCAATTATTCATACACTGCTACATTACCCTTATTTTGCTATACTTCAACAAAAAGTGAGGGGGGGGGGGCATCAACGATAACGTCATAACACAACGATAATGTCACATGCGTGTAAATCGTGCGCTTACGGTTCGCCGTAGAATTCTCAAAACATAGTTGTGCGTTTGAAAGAAACAGAATAAACTTGACGTTTAGGACATACGCAACTTACCTTACCTACTAATAATTTTTCAAGATATTCTTAATTTAAGATTATAGTACCATCAGATGTTCGTATACAAAAATCAGCATGCATTACCAGGGGTTTTGAAAAGATATCAATTGATGAAAAGTCTTGTATAATTCAAAGAAAAATATACAAAAATTTCTTAACATATATTCTAGATGTTTTGTTTATCCAAACTTGTTTTAGAAGAAGTGTACAATAGCATATATAGATATTAAAATGTAGCACACAGTTCTTTTAAGTATTGGAACTCTTCAACTCCAGGGAAAAAGACAATAAAGTTCAAACTATGTTGCGTATATGTCCTTAATCAAAGTTTGCGTTCTATGCAGCTTGATTGAACAACAAGCGACAGACGAAAAATGCCGGCGAGTGCCGAAATAACGAAACTTTTAGATGATAAAGGACTCTCTGAGTATCAAACAAACAATAAAGAGGTCGGTAAATCTTTTTCGAAACTTTCTTATTGAGAAAAACAGAAGCGGGGGGTTTGAAACGTGAAACGTTCTAAACGTGAACTGAACGACGGTCTCCGATTTTTTTTTTTTTTTTTTTTTTTTTTTTTTTTTTTTTTTTTGGCTGACATACTAAATCTATAAGAAATTCAGTATAATAAAATAAATAGTGCATGTTTTTTAGGGTAACAGTTGAAATTGACACCCCTCGGAAAACCATTGTCAACCTTCGCTGACGCGTCGGTTGACAATGGTTGTCCTTGGCCAATGGGGTGTCAATTTCTCAACTGCACTATTTATATATTATGACGGGTGATATTCCAAAAATGTACACCGCGCTGAATTTATGTGTCTCGGGTCACTGTTATGTAATATGTATTTGTATAAAACATTCAGTGTAATACAATAAATATTGCATGTAGCTGAAGGTGACATTGAAAAGTTTATCTCTCTAAAAGCATTGTCAACCTCGACTGCGACTCGGTTGATGACGGCTTTCTTGAGGTGGAACCCTTCAATGTTACCTACGTGCAATATTTATATAAATTAATTGCTAATTATAGTAAGGACAAAACAAGACTTTCATAAATTACTACCTTTACCATTATAACACGTCAACGTACCTGTCCTATGAAGATATTCCTGGTAACGTTTAGACTCTGTGGGAGATAATTACAAATGATCGTACATGTCCTATGAAAATATTCCCGGCGGCGTTAGGAGATACTGGACATTATATAAATGGTGACTGTTTTGGAGGGTAAGAGTCGAAATTGACACCCCAAGCGTAAGGAAAACCGCCGTCAACCTCCGCTGACGCGTCGGTTGAGATTGGTTTTCCGAGGGGTGTCAATTTCGACTCTTACCCTCCAAAATAGTCACCATTTATTTTGTTATACTGAATGTCTTATTGATTTAGGATGTAAACAAAAATATTGTCGATCGTCGTTAAAGCTGAACATGATTCGTAAATGCAATGTGTCCGCCATTTTTGTTCGGATTCTCGCTACATCTGAGGACCCCTATATAAAGGGCCTGACTTGGACACTGTTCAGTATAATCAGTCGACACCGGTGTAGACGGACGTATGCTATACAGCACTCGGTAGCGACAAAAATAACTAATATCTCGTCTAATACAAAAGAAACTTACAATTATAGTTGTACAGGTCAGTGCAGTATACAAACATACATAGATACACGTAACTAAAATAAAATGTAAACAAAGGTAATGCAAGATAACCAGCACGAACACGGGTCGCCATTCCACGCCGATACCCGTGACAATAAAGCAGTCAGGTGTAACGAATCCGAAGAGTATACCCTGGTGTTGATGTATCGTAGATATAATATCGAAAATGGCGTATGCCTATTCACGAGTCGTGTTCAGCTTTAAGTTCTCATTTAGAAAGCTTTCAAACTCCTCGCTTTTGTTTTTCTCAATAAGAAAGCTTCAAAAAAGATTTACCGACCTTGCCTCTTTATTGTTTGTTTGATATTCAGAGAGTCCTTTATCATATAAAAGTTTCGTTATTTCTGCACAATCTAAAGCATTTTTCGTCTCGTTTGTTGTTTTCAATTAAGCCAAATCGGACGCAAGTTTGATTGACGTCAAGTTTTTTCGGCTTCTTTCAAACGCACAACTGACGTTTCGAGAATTCTACGGCGAACCGTGTGCGCATGATTTACACGCATGTGACAATTTTCGTTGTGTTACTCGTTGTCAAGTGTGTTGCTAACGCTGAGGGTAACAAAACGGATTGTTAAATGCTTGTAAACCAATGAGATTGTAGTATTTAACATGAAAATATAATAAAATTATATGTGGCCGTACCTGTATGAAAATATTCTCGGCGTTGTTCAGGGATTTGCAGGAGATAATAACACATGACTGTCCTCATTCCCTATGAAGATATCCCATAAGGGAATGTGAGGGTGATAATTACAAATAATCACACCTGTCCTCTGATAATATTCCCGGTGGCGTTGAGGGATTCTGCGGAAGAAAATTGCATGCGGCCGTTCCTGTCCTATGAAAATATTCCCGGAGATGTTTCTGGCTGCGTTAAGCAATGTTAAAGGATTCTGCGGGAGATAATTTTTATACACGACCGTACCTGTCCTAGAAAGATGTTTCCGGCAGCGTTAAGCAATGTTAAGGGATTCTATGGGAGATATTTTTTTTTACACACGACCATATTTGTCCTATGAAGATATTTTCGGCAGCGTTAAGCAATGTTAAGGGATTCTGTGGGAAATAATTTTTACACACGACCGTACCTGTCCTATGAAGATGTTTTCGGCGGCGTTAAGCAACGTTAAGGGATTCTGCGGGAGATAATTTTTACACACGACCGTACCTGTCCTATGAAGATGTTTTCGGCGGCGTTAAGCAATGTTAAGGGATTTTGTGGGAGATATTTTTTGTACACGACCGTACCTGTCCTATGAAGATGTTTCCGGCTGCGTTAAGAGATTCTGCTGGAGAAGTTCCCATTACAGTGGCCATGAAGCGGGCGATATGTCGAATGATGAACTGCATCACTCCGAGGTAGTAGAGGACAGAGATGAAGGAACTGAAGAAGACTATCACAGTCAGTACCTAAAAACAGATATAGCCACTGTCAATCACTCAAAGGGGGCAGGGTCAATCTTATGGCAATATAATCCATTAACACTGCCTCAGTCAATAAAGACTACAATTTTAAAAATATCCAAGTTTTACGGAGCATTTCGCGATGTATTTGTAACTGATTTTCATTTAAATAACTTATTCTTAGATGACAATGAAAACAAACATTCTTATGTATCTTTAAATAACTTTCACTTTAAAAAAAACTAGTGGGTATTGTTTTTTTTTTACAAAAAAACACATGTCTCCCCTTCTTTACCAACATTAACGAGTTCAAATATATGATCAGGGTCAAAAATAATAATGCAGTGCATCTCAACTCAAATTCTGTGTACAAAATTTCAAATCTTCATGTCAAACAGATCTCAAGTAATGGTCTGGTCGTGTTTTTCTTAATTTGACCTTGAAGAAAGTGGTCAAGGTCAAATATTTTGATGCAGTGCATTTAGTCTCAATGTTGTCTTTCCTTGTTCCAAGTTTGAAATCCTAATGTCAAAAAGTTCTGAAGTTATGACCTAGACTATATTTTCATGTAAACGATTGACCTTGACTTTATTAATAGGTCAAGGTGAAAAAATGTTGCCATTCACCCTTCCTCTATACCACCTCTCCATGTTCCAAGTTTGAAGTCTTAATGTCAGGGTTCTCAAGTTATGGTCTAGTCATGTTTTCTCTATTTGACCTTGAAGAAAGGGGTCAAGGTCAAAATTTTGAAGTGTTGCATCTTGTAACAACGTCTTCTTTCTATGTTACAAGTTTGAAGTCCTAATATCAAAGGGTACTCAAGCTAAGGCCTGGACTCTATTTTGATGTAAAAGATTGACCTTGACATTATAATAATTGGATCAAGGTCAAAAATTTTGGTGGCATGCATCCTTCCTTCATACCACTTCTGCATGTTCCATGTCTGAAGTCTTTATAACAAAGGATTCTTAAGTAATGGTCTAATCAAGTTTTTTCCCTATTTGACCTTGAGGAAGAAAAGAGGTCAAGGTCAAAAATTTTGGTGTGTTGAATCTTGTATCAATGTCTTCTTTGTATGTTACAAGTTTGAAGTCCTAATATCAAAGGGTACTCAAGCTATGGCTTGGACTCTATTTTGATGTAAAAGATTGACCTTGACCTTATAATAATTGAATCAAGGTCAAAAATTTTGGTGGCATGCATCCCTCCTTTATACCACCTCTGCATGTTCCAAGTTTGAAGTCTTAATGTCAAAAGGTTCTCAAGTTATGGTCAGATCGTGTTTTTTCCCTATTTGACCTTGAAGGCAGAAAGGGGTCAAGGTCAAAATTCTAATGCAGTGCATTTTGTCTCAAGGTCTTCTTCCTATGTTACAAGTTTGAAGTCCTAATATCAAAGGTATCTCAAGTTATGGGCTAAACTCTATTTTGATGTAAAAGATTGATCTTGACCTTATATATAGGTCAAGGTCAAAAATGTTGGTGGCGTGCACTCTTTCTTAATGTCATCTATCTATGTTTCAAGTTTGAAGTCTTAATGTCAAAGGGTATTAAAGTTACGGCCTGGACAAAATTTGGATGAAGAAGAAGAAGAAGAAAATCGACAAAAACAATATGTCTCCCCTGAAAGGGGAGACATAACTCTTTTTTCATTATTTTTTTTTCTTTTTTATGAAGATACTATAAAGAAGATTTATACCTTAAAAGCAAAGTAATGCATTTCGAATTTTTCTCCGAACACAAACTTGGATCCCTCGTCTGTATACAGAAGGAACTCCGACACTCTGTCCCCTAACCAGCGAAATGCTCTGTATCCGGGGTCCCAGCGTAAAATGGCGAGGGCGAAATAGAACTGTATTATCAAACCCCAAAATACGGGTCTCCAGTTCACCTGTCAAGAAAGTCAAAATTAGTAAACTATGATCGAGTGGATCCAGGAGCATTTCTGTATGTGCTTAAATATGTGTTACAGTGCATAAATATATAAATTGGTCTTCAGTTCACATTACAAATATGTCGCCCGCGTGGCGCAGTGGTTAGAGCGTTCGCTCTAGAGTCGTGGAGTAAGGAGTTGATCCTTACGTCGCGAGTTCGAATCCCACTGTGGGACGTACGTGGAGACCGGTCCTTCGGATGAGACCGTATAAACCGAGGTCCCTTGTCGCAGTAGGTGTTGGCACGAAAAAGATCCCCCAATGCTCAATGGCCCTGAGTGCCGAGTATAGGGGTTGGGTGGGGTGGGGTGGGCTGGGCTGGAGTTGGGGGATTAAGATTAATTTAAATATTTGAATCGAGTTTAAATACTGGCCTCCAGGTCACAGAGATTATCAAGTAGTAAACTACATGTATAGGAATCAAGGTGTTTTAGCGTGGGACGAAAAGGGGGGTGGGCGGGGTGGTGGTGTTAGTATTCAGTTATTTGAAACTAAGACGCAGTATACATCAACATACACATTTTTGCTCTAAGTGCTTTTGATAAGTGCTTTTCTCCTTTTAAACCCCTTGATATATCATGCTCTTTTAACAGTCTTATTTGTTTAGTAGGGATTTCATTTAAATGGGGTTCGAATCTTATATCTATAATGCAGACACCACTGTTATAACTTTCTTATTAACTTAAAGTTAGATAAGGGATCGTTTTCTTTCCCTTTAAGTTCCTCAAATATATGTTTTGTATCTCTTAGTATTATATAAAAAATTATTCATAATTGTCATTCTCTCGTGATTTCTAAATTGAATTCAATGTTTTTAAAAAATAAGTACATTAAAAATTGTGACATTGGCATTTCAAAAGACCCATAAGGATTATATATGAAATATCACCCTCTGGTATCTTGCCCAAATGCATGGTAAGGTACCTCATTTTTTGGTAAGAAAACGTTTAAGCAGCAACACTTCAATGACAAATTCTTGGGAAAAATTATATATTTTCGAGGTACGTGCCGTCTGACCTTAAATGACCACTATAAAAATAATTGCAATTGTAAGTGTTGTATCATATATCTGAATTGATTACTTACTCTGGCGGGATTATGTATTATATATCTGGATTGATTACTTACTCTGGCGGGATTATGTATTATATATATGGAATGATTACTAACTCTGGCGGGATTATGTATTATATATCTGGATTGATTACTTACTCTGGCGGGATTATGTATTATATATCTGGAATGATTACTTACTCTGGCGGGATTATGTATTATATATCTGGAATGATTACTTACTCTGGCGGGATTATGTATTATATATCTGGATTGATTACTTACTCTGGCGGGATTATGTATTATATATATGGATTGATTACTTACTCTGGCGGGGTTATGTGAAAAAATGTAGAAAGTGACAATAAAGAAGACCATTCCCGTCAGTGAAATAAGGTTCTGCGGAGCTTTTAGTGCCACCTCTGCTATAATATAAACTACGACTCCTAATGCCAGCAGTACACAAAGTATTAGATGAAACCTGAAAGATTGAATTGAATTAATAGTCGACAATTATATGTTTTTTTGGCAACAATTTTTAATTTAAAAAAATGTATTTTTATGCCCCCGTAATTGAAGATTTGGGGATTTATAGTTTTTGCCCTGTCTGTTCGTCTGTCCAGCTGTCTGTCTGTCCCACTTGGTTTTCTGCACTTTTTTTTCTTAATGCTTGAAGATATTGAGCTGCTTTTTGGCATGTGAGTGTATCTTGATGTGTTAGAGATCAAGTTTCCATTTCGTTCCGCTTTGGTGATTTTTTGACGGAATGACGGCCTTTTCAATTGCTAAGGATTTCCGCTATTTTTTTTAAACGCTTCCAGATACTGGGCTGAATTTTTGTACGTAAGTTTACCTTGATGAGTTATAGATCAAGTTTGCATTTTGTACCGCTTCTATGATCTTTTGACGGAATTATGGCATTTTCAATACTTTCTATTTCCATCATGAAAGAGTTATAGTTCTTAGTGCGCTCTTTTGTGAAAAAGTCGGAAAATTGACAAAACTCGCGGGATTTCTGGGACAATCGTAATAACATATAAACAATATGTTGAGTGTCGATTAAAAAAAGCCTTACAAACATGCAAATGAGACACTATATTGTTGTAGACTTTACATGCATCAGAAGTAGAAACGACAACGATATCAATTTATATATATTACAGAAAGTTGTTGACAAGTGTTGACGGTCCATCACGACTTGCATTGTACATGCCTCGTAATTTTTATCAATGAATGATAAATTCGGGACTTTCGCACTCTCATATGTGTCTATAACTTTTTCTACTCTTTAATGTGAATGGCAAGTACATTAAACATTCTAAAGTGGATTGAGATCGGCATGTTTTGTATTCTCTGCTACGTCAAGCTGTCCCATTCAGACGACTAAACCGGCCTCTAATTTGAAGAGTTCCAGTAATGGAAATCGGAAGTATTCTAATGGGAACCAGATTACACTTGCCGCCAGGGGACTAGTATTGCTAATGCGATACTCTCAGTACGCTTTTTTTCTTTTTTTTCTTTTACATTTTCGACTTCTTCTCAAGAATCAGTGGGTCAATTTCAAATAAGCTTGCAACAAAGCATTCTTGGGAAAAGGGTATTTAGATTTGATCATATATAAATAGCCATGTCCTCTTTCAAGGGGAGATAATTAAGAATCAGTCAAAATTTAGTGGCATCTTTTAAAAATCTTCTTTTAAGAACCACTGGGTCAAAAAAAGTTTGAGGCGGGTACGGAAAATTAAAATAGGAATCGACCTACCACTTAGCAATTTTATTTCGTGTCTCCTTCTGCAGTTTACTCCAGTAGAAGTATATTGTCATTTGTTCCCCGAACACAGAATGCATAGCAAAATATCCAATGTAGAGCGCCAACAAAATCGTACATATAAGCAATCTCCAGGAGCCTTCGTCACCGAAACGATACACCATGGCAGATATGAAGTAAGCCATATACAGCGTCAACAGACATACATATACACAACTCATTATCATCTCTTTGTGGGTTTTGAAAGTACCAAAGATGGCCGTCTGAAGTCGCATGACTCCGCGAGAGCAGGAATTACCATAATCAGCTTCAAATTCATCCTCTTCAGAATTATAATCCTCGTCATCATCATCATCTTGTTTCTTAATGTTCCCCTAAAATACGAAAATCAGCTTCATTATGTTTAATATCCATCACATCCTCTAATAATATTCTGTTTTGGAAGAAATAATAAATATCACTATAGTAAAGAAATGAAGATGCACCATGGCCGTAGGAACCGGGGGCCGTGCCCCCCCCCCCCTCCTCCCCAATAATTTTGCCGATATATAGAATACTATAGAAAACACAGCTACATGTTTGTGCCCCCTCAATATAATAACGTCTGATGACCTTTTTTTTTTTTACTTGTCAAGGAATTTTGGTAGTTGATAGTGCCCCCTCAACTGAAAATGTATGGTTGTGCCCCCTCAAAGTGAAATTGCTTCCTACGGGCCTGTGCACAGTTAGTGTGTCTTATAAATTGTACAATTTAATACAAGAGTATAACACTAAAAGTCTTTAAGTTTAATACGTACATTTACTTGTTTCACTTCAGCACCCACTTCCGGGTCAAATGCTGGATTATCATGTCCTGAGATTATTTCCGGTCCACCCTGGTTGCCGTAATTGGGACCATTCTTATCGTTTACGACAATCGGCTTTACTTGTCTGAGTTGTACGGTGTTCTCTTCCTCTTCCATTATTTTATTTTTCTTTGGCACGTGTTATAAATTGACGTAAATAGTCTGTAATTAAAGTTTAATAATAGAAACTTAATGACCAAAATAATCACCCTCTCTCCAAAATAAAAAAAAAACCAATTGAAATTTATTTTTATATGATCTTTAAGAAAACCTTTATTCTACCGTTTAGTTTTGAATCTGTCAAAAAGAATACACTGAAAAAATATATGTGTTAGAAAAATAATGTATAGGAATACATATCAGCAAAACGACATTATATTAACTCATAACCTATAGTACGTGAGAAAATTTCCTAAGATGAAAAATTAGGTTGAAATTTTAATGATAGATGTTGACAGCGACATGCCGTATTGTATAGAATGGCAGAATTTTGATGGATTATATGTATACTCACGTCTACAATGTACTTCTCTCTCAACCTTCAAGAAATAAATTGAATAAACTCAGATATAAAGCATTTCTTTGCCACCTCATATCGATTTTCTTACATCATATGTCGGACCGATCACATAAAATTAATAATGTTACGTAAGTAATGTCTTGTGTTATACCAAGTACAACTTATTTTCTTAAACTACAGGTATAGATAACGGATATTTAGTTTCTTCGGTACATTTTAACTGAATCAAAATATTTAAACATGAAAAACCATCCATCTTTTCTTCCCACAAGAAAAATTTTTAATTAAAGAAAAAAGAAACGTATTCTTTTAAACACAGACAATGTATTTTCTTTATTACTTGAAAAAGGTAAAACTTGAGAGAGAGAGAGAAAAAGAGAGAGAGAGTTACATACCTTTCTCCGATATGTGTAAACCGTTCCTGAGAAGAAGACTGTACTATCATTTTTACTTTATAGTTATAGACCGGAACGTAAACATTGTTATATACATAGCTAGGTACAGGTGCGCGTTCCTATCCCACGACCCTTTTCCACTGAGAAAAGTACGACCCTATCTTTAATAAATACTTAATGACTCGTCGTAATTGAAACAATATTGCAATAAACTTAACACTTACCTTTTTAATTGTCAATTGTGCAATGATCCTTAAATTGTCTCACGGCGTCTCGATTTTATTAAATTTTTGTTGCAAATGGTCTTCGATTACCGCGTGTCCAGCGAACCAGAACGTTCTGTTTAAACCTAGGCCTGTGTTTACCCCCGTGTAGGGAGAATTTAACACCCCCCAAAAAGCTCTTCAGAGTATGTACACCCAGAACTAACCTCCAAGCTTTAATTTTATTGTAAATGTGTAGCTTTCGTCTGATGTATATAATTCTTGATACAAAAGGAAGCTCTCGGTTTGCGGGTTTTAACGATCTTGTTTTGGTCTTATGGCCAAATTCAACTGTTTACAATTATAGACTTAAACATCTCTAACCACCATCAACGTTAAATTAACCTAGTTGTTCACTGAACTAGTAAAATGTCCCCCGTCTTATTCCTTTGAAAGCTATTTTTTCAGCACATAAAATTTCATTAACCCGAAGGGTTTCTGATTTATTTATTATTTCTAATTATGGTTAAAGAATTTCTTTATTTTACTTTTTCAGTATATAAAATTGTTTCAGTGACTCGGGTTTTGATAAACCTCTCATTCAAAAAACACGTCATTAAGTCTTGGTACTTGTGGTTGTTTGCAGTCTATGGTTGTGAGAAGTTGATTCATGACATTATTTAATTTTATTTCCACCAGTCAGATAAAATTGTCAGATAAACATATTTTACAATTTCTGACTAGAAGTACAGATTGCCTCGAGTTAAATATGAATAAAAAGGTTTGCTTTTTAAAAAAAAAAATCATATGATTTAGACATGGACATTTTCAAATTATTTCCCTCAATGAAAAAAAAAAATGATACCATAACAGATTTAACCATCCCCTACTTGGCTCTAATATCAACAGCTACATGTAGTAAAGCAGTCATCCGAAGTACGTAAACATCGGTCATTGTTACAAAGTTTTTAATCACTCATTTGCAATCCATAAGTAAATATCCTTAAAAAAAATCGAAAGCGAATCTAGGAATTTTTGCCTAGAGGGAAGGAGCTAGGTGTATTTTCTTTTTAATAGAAAAGTGAATAGTCCAATGTCATTTTACCCCTATGTATACAAGTAAAAAGAAAGGCGCTCACTTGATCCTCCTACGAAACTTCGCTTATCTTGAGCCTATTATCTTGCGCTCTCAATTATTTAGCGTAAACATTAAAATACCACATGCAAAACATTTATAAATAAGTAGATAATTTAACAAACAATAACATAAATAAAACATGTAGCGAAGTTCTGAGGATTGGCGAATGACCCCCACCCCCACCGTCCCCTATAAAAAAAAAACTTAGACGGTAATTAATCGAATTTCACTAGACTCAATCTGATTAAAATCAGATCCTTTGATCCGCTCACATAGATCGCTACACTGGCCTTGTGTAGCGATCTATGTGAGCGGATCAAAGGATCTGATTTTAATCAGATTGCACTAGACTTCGTCTGATACAACTGACACTAACATCAATAAGTTCAATGCTTGTGTCGAGATTCATGTTTTACATGAGCACGTCGATAATCAAAGATTTCTTGAATATTTCTTATCAAAAGACCTCAAATGTCAGTCCATACGCGGCAAATATCCGCGGAGGAATATGTCCTAGACAATCACTTGTTTATGTTGAGAGATATCTGCTTTTAATCCTATTCATACCTGTAGCTGAATGTAGGGCGGTAGAACGCCGGGGGGGGGGGGGAGGGGGCTTTTTTTCTGAGTATAGTTTTTGCTATAGTAAATTTTCCCTTAGATGCTGGTCCCCCAATATATATATAATATTGGGAAGCCCCCCCCCCCCTTTGGTCAGTTTAGTTTTTTTTTTTTTTGCTTGTCAGATCTTTTTTTGGGAAGTTGACCCCCCCCCCCCACTTTTGAAACCGTTGCTACGGGCCTGGAATGTTTCTGTAAACGATGCTGTCCTATTGCTCACACATTAATTTCTCCCATATATTTGTTAGAACTTCGAGGCCGACAAACTGCATTTCAAATTCCAATATTTACCCTTTCCCTTCCCTCAAGTTTTGAATTCTGTGTCTTTCGGAATCACCATTAATTATACTAGTGCTAAGAGGGAAAATTAGTTAATTAATAATTTTGATACCTTAGGTATTTTACAGAGACATGCGCATTAGTCCTGCTGGGATAGTTTGCTCCCTGTCCATAGAATTTTCAATCTCATATGAAAAATAGTGGAGGAACAAGCATAGATTCCTGCTAAAATGAACTCAGTATGCTGATTAAAATTAATGCACATCATATATGCATTTATGAAGTTTTCATCCAAGAACCTTCTGAATTTCTAGTAGAAGTGTATGTATAGTTACTGCGTTAGGTATGTATGTGTTATCTTTATTAAACAAAACATATTTAATTGATTGCTGAGTTCATTTTCTCCTCATTGTATTTCAAAGTAATAAATTTTGATTGATCGCTTTTGTTAAAAAGACCCCCCCCCCCCCCAATAAAAGCTGAAGTTTCTTGCTACGGGCTCATCAAGACAAAATCCTTAAAAACTATAACTATAGTGAATATCAAGAATAATAAAAGAAATATATTTCTTAAAAAAAAAGAAAAACATGTTCAGTATCTTTCAATAACTGAATAATGCTTTTTAAAAGTACAAACTTTCGAGAAGCCCTCCGAACCCCCCCCCCCCCCTTGCAACTGATTTCCTCACGATGAAATCACACAGTACCCAAAACGTGCACTTATGTTGTTTCCATTTGTTTCCGGATAACTTCATTTCTAATGATTCAAAAACAACAAGCTCTTAATATATTGACTTCAGAAGTCACTAATTGATTCGTGTGTTTCAATATCTACAGTTATTTTAACAGAACATTTGTTCTGGTCAGCGATATTTACTCTAATTCATTTCAATTTTCTCCTTGCTGAGTTTGAAAATCATTTAAAGTGAGTCTTATCTGCTTCACTGATTGATTAAAACAAGCAAAATTAGAATTATGAATCACTTCACTTTTATCATGTATATAAACTAAGACCATGCGCATGTTTTAATTTAATGTAGTGAAAGCAATTTTAAGCATTGAACCTACATGTACACTATTTTTAGTCTAAAGTTTGCTTTCTTGTGGTAGGTTTTTGTAATTGCAATATTTTTATGCAACTGGTAATATATGTTATTCTATATGTTGAGAGAGAGAGAGAGAGAGAGAGAGAGAGAGAGAGAACAGCAACCATACCAAAGAAAGAGTTATTCCTCTTTATTAGTGTTTGAGGCGATCTATAATTATATGCACTGCCTAGTTATTGAAAATAGAACACTTTTAGCGCTATATTTGTTTATTTGGTAATTTTTAACGTGAATATAATTATGATTTATCAATGACGATTGAAATAAATTATTTATTTATTTCTTGCGAGGTTGGGGGTGTTATCGATAAGAGGGATAACATATAAATATCTGAGGACACCGAGACTCCGTGTAACTGTCATTATATAATGTTTGAATTTACCGGGTGGCAGTAAATGCAAAATTTACATGACAAAACGTGAAGTCATCTGTAGTGTTACACCCACAGGAGCTTGAGGACAGTACTCCCGGGACATTTCGATATAGACCCCTGGGCCATTTCGATATAGACCTCTGGGCCATTTCGACTTCTTTTTCTCATGAATTATCTTTCAATGTCATATTTGTGATATAATCCATACCATCAATTCGAAAAATTACCTAAAACAAATATTTCATTAAAAAAAAACATTCTACCCCCACTTTATAAATCTACCTGCTTGACACGATTCTTTTTTAACTTTTTTTTTTATTTACTACTTTGTGATTACTTCCTTAACTTGTTAATTAGTCAGTTTTACTTTTTCCATAAAACAGTTAACGTTTGTAATTGTCAAGTATATATTTTTTTTGTTGTTTTATGACATTCTTTTAACCGGCCTTGAAGTAAAGAAAAGGGACGGAAGGACAGACTGAATAATATAAGATTTCTCCAAACCAATTGATTTTTTTTCAATAGATTATTTTATATCGAAAATGATATCAAACGTTTTGTTTACTTTGCAAATTATACTGAATACACTGCGATAAGGTCCGATAGTATGCAGTTAAATAGTACATGTATCCATCTATTTTGAATAGTAGTCTTTCTTTAATTTCCATTATGTTAAAAAAAAAATTATAATTATATATTTCTCGGAGTAAGGTGGAAAAAAAGGCAAATGCGTGAGTCCCAGCCCCTGGATCTCAAAAACCTTTGCCGGTCACGCTTATTCTGTCATGTGCTAACGAGTTTTGCCTTCTTCTAAAACAGAGTATACTGTAAAAGTCTTACAAAATGACTGTTTCGCTCTTGTTTTAATTAAAACATGTAGTTAGTCTTACTAAGATACACTATATATTTATAAGATACATAATTCTGTGTATCTGAATTCGATCAACGGTGTTGCAATTGATACTATGCAACTAGAAATTTCTGTGAAATTCCTTCAAAATGCTACATTTTAGTAAAATTTTAATACTACCTAGTACGTATACATGTACACATGTAGAGTAACCAAAGATACCTGATTCTAGCTGTGTATATAACAATCATAACGATTTGATTCCAACACAGATATTGCCTTGGTAACTAGAAAAGATGTATTTGTGAAATTCTCGCTAAACGCTATACTCTTATAGTTTTACTCTGATTTCTATATGACTCGGAACACTAGAAAATTTAACCAAGGCTCATAATTCTAATTTTCTGTGATGCTATGGGTGCTAAGTTCCAAATTAGGTGCTCATGCGCGGATCTAGAAGGGGGGGGGGGCGTCCGGCCCCCCCCCCCCCCCTCCCCCTGGAATTTGCAGAGTTATTAAATTTTATATGTATATTGTTAAAATATTAACAGTGACATATAGGTCTTTTGGGCCGGGTGTAAAAAAACTAAGTATATTGTTGTAAAATACACTGTATTACTGTATAATACACATGTCACTATAATAAATAATTTATTTACTTACTTACTTATTAAAAGTATATATACTGAAGCAAATAAAAAATGACTTTGGACCCCCCCCCTCCCCTAGAAAACGTGGACCCCACCATCACAATCACGAAATAGGTATTTTTCACGTTTGGGAACTGGATTTTATGTTTTTGTTTTTTTGTTTTGTTTTGTTTTTTTGCTTGTCAAGAAATTTCTGGGTTGGGGTGGACTCTCCCCTGGAAAAAATTCCTGGATCCGCGCCTGGTGCTACTTTTCTTCCTTTATTACTGTAACCAGTGGGGTTAAAAGGCATCTGGTTTAAAGAAGTAAAACCAGAAAGTTTAGCGTACGTTACATGATTGGGCCGTGCGATGTCTATGCTTTATACATACATGTTCAAGAACACCGTGATCGACGTGTTTGAAAGTTGTGAACCATTGTCTATTTTTGTTAAAATATGCATTACAATGTAGGTTTATTGACACGTGCTAAGAGTTGATTAAGTAATTTTGTTTCTTTAATTTTGAAAAGTCATAAGTAAAATTCTAATGCTCTTTCGACAACGCTCTTGTAGATTTAACCATCAGAAGTCCTAGAAAACATCATTCAAAATTACACATGTACAGAGGAAAAACACGCGCCTTATAGCAGCACCCTCTAATTTAATTTGCAGCTTACTATAACGGCAATAGCCGGTTATACATTTACCAGTTTATTTGAGTTTTATATTTTTCTATTTACATGATATTGTTTATTGAATAATCTTTGCACGGAGTTCAAATTTGAGTCAACATGAACCTAAAAGATGATATAATATCTCTTGTAATTCTTTTAATAGAAAATTAAACCCTAGTGGCAGTTGATGAGTTTATTATATCATTCTATTATGAATATCATTATATTATGAAGTTTAAACAAGTATGTAATATTCCTAGCTATCAAATAAGTCTTTTATGTACTCGGCGAAAGATTATAATTTGTTACATCAGCTGTAATTGGTTATCGGTTTCTGATTTGTTACATCAGCTGTAATTGGTTATCGGTTTCTGATTTGTTACATCAGCTGTAATTGGTTATCGGTTTCTGATTTGTTACATCAGCTGTAATTGGTTATCGGTTTCTTTTTTTCCTGATACTCAATCATGACCAAGAATTAGTTTTTTTTTTCTCTGATGTTTCAGTTTTATATATTTCTTGCTTCAAAAGTTTCATTTGTTAATTCATTCATTCTTTGGAAACTTATTTAGAAATTCTCTCTCTCTCTCGCGATCTCTCTGGCATTCGAGATAAATTAACAAGAGAATCAGGGGTGTTAGCGGTCATCTGAGTATATTACCAATTCTGTAAAGGATCCACGGAATGTCGATTCAATAACTCTATAATAAAACAAAATAAACTTATAGAGGAAGACATGTTGCAATTGCTCAAAAATAAAAGGAAAAGAATAATCAAAGATCATTAAAACAATAAGTCTAGTCTGTAATACGTCTAACAGTAGATCTTTTTTCTTGCCTGTACATGCCTGTACTTAATTACTATACTCCCATGTGTGTACATGTACGTCCATTTGTGCTTCGACATGAACTACAATATTGAATTTCTTATTTGAGAACTACAAGTACGATTTTTCAATTTGCTGGTTTACCAAACAAATCATATTCCGCTCAACAGTACTGCTTGATAATTTGGTGCTCCGCATTATCGCCCGACGTCACTACTTTTGACAATACATGTATCTACATCTGTAAGTAAAGGTATTTTTGCATCTAACTTCATATGTTTGTTACTTGTGATGCTAAATTAATGAACCGATGTTTTCCCATCAAGGGGCAAAAAATTATTTATTTTGGTCGGATAGTTTTTGAAATATTAAAAAAATTCGCGTTTTTCTGGGACATCCCTCGTACTATGTTTTAACCTTTTTTGTTTGCTTTTTCATGGGGTGGGGTGTTTTAAAATAACAGTCGAATTAAAAAGACAATAAAGTTCAACCGTTGATAAGCGTTTACTCACAAACACTTCATGTTAACAATATCACAAACAAGGAAAATCAAAAGTACAAATCGTCATTGTAATTTACAATAAATAAATAAATATGATGAGGCATATTATAAACAAAAGATGACAGAATACATGGTATTCAGATTCAAATTATTTTGTTTCCTGACCATTCTGTTGACATCGATTACAAAGTAATACTTGTAATCTGTCTGTTACTAAAGCAAAACAAACAATAACAAAGATGATTAATCTGTCTCTGTCTGTAATAGACAAGAGTTTCAAGTAACATTTTTAAAAATATATGGATTTGCGTAACTGTCTGAAAAGTGTTTTTTTTTCAGTTCTAAAGATATTTTATTTTTTAAAGAAATAGAACAAAGATAGTACAGTGAATGGAAGGTTTACAATCCTTTTTCTTTCATGCAACTCCTAAATTATTTTAGACTTATTGGAAGTTGTGAAACATTTCGATGACTTGGTCCTCAAACCTGAAGTAGGTTATATTCCATGAACTTGTCTCAGTATTGAACTCTTAATTGCACAAAACAGCACCAAACTGATTTCAAATTTACGAAATATAAAACTTGCTTTATCCGTGTATTTCATTCTTCAACCTCTTCATTTTCACAATCACTCAAAATGTCTGTGTTTTTTACGTTGTTATCAGATCCAGACGACAGTTTGGAGTCAATACTTGACCGCGAGGCGGCGCTGCCTACGGATCTTCTCGCCCAAGTCTCGTCATCCTCCTGCACGATTTTTACGTCCTGTACAATCGTTTCCTTCTCTTTCCTCCGAATCTTACTTTTCACAAAGTTCACAAAGCGTTTGGAGTTGTTTTTAACCTACAAATAAAAAAATGTGGTCAATGAACAAAATACTAATATTCAATGTATAACAAGTTACAATGTACGAGATATTGATCAAGTTAAAACTTAAAAAAAAGTGTTTATCTAAAAAAAAAAATACAGAAATGAAAATGACACCCATAACTGTACCTGATAAAGTTCTGATTCTTTGTTTGTATACAGACTTACATTACAGGAACTATTAAGGGCTCACTAGTTTTGTACACATATAAACAATTATGTTCACTATATATGTAGCATATTGGGTTTAAAAAAAATTAACATAACTAAAATCAAATACATGTAGATAAAACAAAAAAAATAATAAAAAAAAATAATAAAAAATAAATGAATAAATAAAAAATAAAAATAAATATGTAAAAGTATTAAGGAGCACAAAACAAGTACCTAAATATTTATTATTATCATTAATATATGATTAAAAAAAATGGGAAAAACAGAGGGAAGATAATTTAAACACAGACCACCAAAGACATTATCTAAAGAATAACAGCATTTAATGCTTAACATGATATATAAATCTGGATCAATAATTCAATTTAAAAAAATTGAGATTAGAAGAACTGATATCGTGCCTGGATCTCAGACATTGGGATCAATATTACGAAATATATTTTACACAAATCAGATCTTACTCCCTGTAAACCAGCCTGGATCTTCTCTTTTGTCGTTCGGGATTGAGGGTCCATTTCTTTGGGAGGGTCCACGAACACACTTCTAAGCTCCTAAATGAAACAAAGTACTTTTAAGCATCTTTACGTCTGTAGTAGAACTATCAAGAATGGCTATGTGTCATGTTAAAAATTCGGGAAAGCTCTCCCTAATTATAGCGCGGTATTACGTATGTATATCTATTTACACAATTCATATTTTGTTTATGTTTAGCTTAAATGCAAACATAATGCGTTTAAATCTACCTAATCAAGCAGAATCGATTGATGACCTAATTTCTTTACAATGTCGTGGTCCGCCCAAATTATGTACATGTACTTATTCGAGTTTTATATATACATGTATAGCACAGAAAAGGCCTTTGTCTTTATTTTCCCTCTTTCGTTTATCAATTTTGAATTTAAAAAAAATGGAGTAGAACGTTTTTAGTTCTCTCCTAAATATTGCCCTCATTTAAATGATGCAAGTAATACGTTGTAGAGTATCATTTTACTCGAAACCCTCCGTCGATATGTGCATTCGAAACGGTGATATTTTCAACAGTAAATCAGCTTATTAAATTTCAGAAGATAGAAGCTGCTAGGTAACGTACCAATGGAGGGGTATTTGTCTCTACAACAAATAACCCCGAACTGTGAAGGGGGTGCAAATTTGAGAACATAACGAGTAAGTGCTTAGGTGAAGATCTATATATTGTCTCGTATGAGATCGCAGATACACTCAAAGAAAAACAAAGACAAGTGTCAAACAGAGGCATGGAACAAAGACGGAAGTTTGTTCTAAATTATCATAGGAATTTTCAACACATTTTCTACGTTTTATTCTTTTTTAATATTCTTGTTTAAACAAAGTTCTTTTTTTTTCTTTATGATATGTAGTCATATTCAAAATTAATTGAATTATTTTAAGGACACCAAATAGGATATGTCCCTTAAGCCACAGGTGCTTGCTTAACAACGCAACGATCTCAGAGTTTTTTTTTTTTTTTTTTTTTTTTGAATTAAAACACTTTTTTAAACAATTAAACTGTCTGACTTATTCCTCCCCCCCCCCCCTTTATCTTTGAAGTAAACTTTTCTTCTAAAGTTATTGAAGGGAAGCTTTATAACCTTGAAAAACTCGCACAAAACAAACACATATTCAAATGTCCCAGGAAATAGGTCGTTAATCTATCGGTTAGTGAAAAAATTAAAGCCCTGTTGAATGTCAATATAGATTTATTGCATATTTGATAAGCAGTAGGAGATATCTGTCGTCGCCTCATTAAAAAAGATGAACAATCATAGAGGTTCTTTACACACTGGATTTGCCTTACAGAATTGATTTTTTTTTAAACATACGCTCGGTAACTGCTTACCTGATCCTCTAAGGTCCACATTCTATATTGTTTACGAATTATATATTTTTAAATTTTTATGAGCTGCCTATTTGTACATGTGGACACAATTTTTAAGGCAGAAATATTTTTGTTCGTACAAGCCCCCTCCCCCTTTTTTTTCTTTAAAATCGAAAATTCGGGTTCATTTTTATTTTTAGTTTAGATTTCCTTTTGTTTGACAAATTTTAGTTAAAAAAAATAATATAATGAAAATTAAGATAAATATGATTGACTCTTCAGAAATTCTACTCTTTTTGGGGTGGGTTGGGGGTTAAATGTATAAATCTGACAATTTAGTATACATTTGTATTTAGTTTTAATTGAAATACTTTGCTAGTTTGATTTATTTTGTTTGCAGGACACGTTGGTAAGTGAAGTATTCTTGCCCACACATTTCATTCAGAGAAACGCAGCCATTGTAAAATTTGAGATCATTTAAATCCAATATTATAAACAGATTGAACTATTTAAAATCCACATCTTAAAAGGTGTTCAACTTTGTACCAAGTACCAATTTTGGTTTTACTTAGAAAAAAAAATTATCATTAATTGTAGCAACTAGGAGTAAAAATACAAGAAACAGAATATTTTATACAAGTTTCTCAGTAAGCCATCTAAATTTACTTTACTTTACTATTCTTTTTCTTTCTTTCTTTCTTTTTTTTTTTTTTTTTTTTTTTTACAAAAACTAGCACTTAAAATGTCTTAGGAATTTTTTTGTATAAGTGTTCAATACTCTTGTGCCTAGAACCTATAGAAGTCTGGTAAGTATTTTTGAAATTCGAGTTTATTGAAGAGAGAGAGAGAGAACCGAACTCAGTCCACGCCCTTGGTTGAATCTGATTTTTTTTCTGATGTTGCAGAAAATAGATATATCCGTGAAATGCACATTTGTACATGTAAACAGTAGACATTAATTTAATTTTGATAACAGGTGATCCAAATTGTTTCGCATTTTATAAATTTGGGTGCCTGTTTTTTGTTCTGATTTACTGGGACAGTACATGCACAAATAAATATATCTTTTATCTATAGACAGGCGGGCGCACATGTACTTGTGCCGAAATTCGACTCTATACTTTAATAAACAGAAAAATCCAACCGATTTAAAGTCATTGTTCCGCCATAGCAACGAGCGAACAATACACACTTGGATCAAATACACCAGGTCAGATTACAGGGAATTTCATTGTATGTAATAATTGTAACAAATATCAAATCGTGCTAATTTGATTTGTGACAGATATTTATAAATGTATAAATTGAATGTCTTTATTGTTTATGATGAAGGGCGGATCAAGGATTTTTTATTTAAAAAAAAAAATAGAGAGGCCCTATAATTATGTAAAAGAAGTATGAAACATTTCGTCTTTTAATTGGCTTAAAATTCACCTTAATAAAACAATCAATCTCTACAGTTAAAAATAGGTTATTGCATAGAATTTGCCATATGAGGGTCTTTTCTGAAAAAATAAAACTTGCACTGGTTGCTTTTTTGGTGGTGGTGGGAGGGGGATTCGCAAGTGACAAATGAATAGCTCTCTTACATCAAAACAACACAGGAAAACAAAAACAAAATAAAGGAAAACATAAAAAGCAGATAAAATGAAATTGAACTAACCTTGACTTTCAGTTCGTGTTCTTGTAACGTTGTGAACATGTCCACTGTATCATTATTTTCAGTCTTTCCCACTTCTTCATCCATAATTCAGAAGAAAAAAAAAAACGTTAAAAATGAAACAATATTCCCTTTGAATTGAATGTCCAATTGAATGTAATTTTTCCTTTAAATATATCAAATATATAGTCCAACGTCAGCTACAGTTTTCAACGATTTCTGCATAAAAGATGGTATTTTTTTTGGTTGCGTTGTTTTTTAATACTATTCCATCATTCTACCTCAAACTTAACTAACATGTTTACTAATTGTCTATGACCAATACACCAATGGAGCGGTTCACGTTTAAAAAATCACGCGTACCGCGCATAAAATTTAAAAACATGTTTAAGACGAGATGATCATGGGATAAAAAGATAACAAAAACCTTTAGCTATATATTGACAAATTGTCAAACTCACAAGGGGGGTATAGGAGATCTTATCGCTGTGTGGTGCGTTTTAAATCGCAATCTATTATCTTGTATATCTCTTCTGCTTCTCCAGTGTTGCATGCAATAGAATGGAATCACAGCGTTAAGGTATTTCTAAATAAATAACTCGATTTATAGAAAGACGCAGAAATTTTATCATTAAAAAAGAACAATAATTTATTCAGAGATATTACAAGGGTTAATGAAAATGTCTGATAATATAAATCAACACGAAAAAGCTACAGCATAAGACTATACTCAGAAAAAAGTGGGAAGGGGCAGCCCCCCCCCCCTTCCATGGCCCTGGTTCAGATATAAAAATTCGGTTTGTGGAATACGGTAACTCAATATTCCCAACTTAGGATCGTTCCGTGTTTTAGGGTGAGTGGGAAGAGCGTTCCGTGTTTTAGGATGGGTAGGAGGAGCGTTCCGTGTTTTAGGGTGGGTAGGAGGAGAGTTCCGTGTTTTAGGGTGGGTAGGAGGAGCGTTCCGTGTTTTAGGGTGGGGGTTTCGTTTTAATCACTCTAAACATCATGGAAGGGCTGAACCTTCTGTCTCCAACTTCCCTTTTGATCCACTGTTTTTTTTTTTTTTTTGTTTGTTTGTTTGTTTGTTTGTTTGTTTGTCCCCCCCTCTTTTATGTTATGATTTTATAGAATATCTCAGAGAAATAAAAACAAGATATAGATCTCGAAGCAAAATGTAATAATACAAAATGTAATAATACAAAATGTAATAATACAAAATGTAATAATACAACATGTTGTAATACAAAATGTAATAATACAAAATGTAATAATACAACATGTTGTAATATAGTTATTTCAGTTTGTATCGTTATTAAATTTTACATTGTTATTACATTTTGCTATTGTAGTAGTCCCCTACCGGTGGGACTGTAGGTTTCCTCCTCGTCTGTCCGTCTGTCTGTCCCTCTGTCTGTCTGTCAGTATGTCCCACTTGGTTTTCCGCAATTTTTTCTAAAAGCTTGCAGGTATTGAGCTGATTTTCGGTATGTGAGTGCGTTTTGATGAGTTACAGATCAAGTTTGCATTTTGTTCACTGATTTTTGACGGAATTTAGGCATTTTTAATTTTTAAGGGTTTTCAACATTTTTTCTCCCTTCTAAACGCTTGCAGATATTGAGCTGATTTTTGGTGTTTGAGTTAACCTAGATGAGTAATAGATCAAGTTTGCATTTTGTTTCGGTACAATAATTTTTTGAGGGAGTTACTGCATTTTCAATTTTTGATGGGAACCAGATAACATTTGCCGATAGAGAGATGGGTAGAGGACTTAGTCTTGTACTCTCAGAATGATTGTTAAATTGTGCATCGTTACAGAGCTCGGATGTACCAGATAATTGTGAAAATAACCCATCCTTCGTATGATTGAATATGCATAGTTATATTCCATCGAAAATAATGTAGATATTCTGCGCGGAATGAAAAATTTTATTTATAAATTAAATGGGAATCGACAGGAGTATGTCACCACTGAGTATAAAGTGATAGCTCTTTTGTACACATGTTAACAGGTTTTTCGTTTGTTATAAACACCGACATCATCTCTTTGTTATAATTAGCTCAATGCTGTGAGACGATGTAAAAGTTGAGTTCGCGATGCTTCATTTTGGGGACCAAAGAACGTTCCTAATGTTTTTCTAATTTTCATCTCGCTCTCTCACTAAATTAGTCTATCGTCTTTTGATGTGCAGACATATATATATATATATATATATATAATAACTAGCAAACAGACTCTAGGAATACCTACCGACTTTATCCTATAACAGCGATGGTAGATAAGAAGTCCTTGTGAAGTCACCAAGTAATTACCAGATTTGTATGCTTTCAATAATTGAGGATTTCTGATTATATTGGTGGATGAAAGAGTCCGTCAAATGACAGTATAATATAGCAGCCCTACATTTATTTTTACACTGAACGAAATGATAGCGGTATAAGACGGTCTTTTTTTTTTTATAAAAAAAACCGCTCTATTTGTAAAAATTGATATTCCGGATGGTTAATTAACCAGAGGCTCTGCTGTCTCCGGACATCTCCGTATATATATCTCCGGTGTTGGAGATTCACGTAATTATCTATTTTAGCCTATATGAGACAAGAAAAGTTTCAATGAGTTTTTTCGTCGGAAAGCCAATTAATATTAACCTCGATGTTTTCTTGTATATAAGTAGCTATACTGCAGTATATAATAGTAAAACCATGGTGATATTAAACCTGAGAATCACTGCAGTAGCCAGAAGTACAAATGTACTTTACAAAGATCCACATGAAGATGTAACATAATATTACATATCAATCAAAATTTGGCTACTGTATATATAGCCAAATAACCCATACCTGCAATGTAAAATACGTAATATGTAGGAGTTGAAGAGAATTTAATGTAAATTCTATTGTTAATGGTGAATCATTCAAATCTAGGTACAAATGTTTTTTAATAAGGTCAATCATTGTTCAATGATGTCTTTTAAAAAAATATGCAATTTCGTAATTAATACTTAAACAATAGAAATTGGTTGACTGATTAGCCGCAAAATATTGGTACCTGCGGTACAGTATTAATAACATATATGTACGTTATATATGCAGTCGTCAGAGGTACATATACAATAGTACGTTATATATGCAGTCGTCAGAGGTACATATACAATAGTACGTTATATATGCAGTCGTCAGAGGTACATATACAATAGTACACCATAGTGAAGAGATATAAGGAAGAAAATAATTCACGGAGGACAAACAGCATCATGAAGTTTTATTATAAACATACACAAGTTTTTCTGCATTTTTTCGTTTTTGGTTGACACGAATTCCATAAATTTTATAACATTAGGCATTTGAGAACAATACTTTACTTTTTTAAGATAAAATGAAATTCATCAACAATTAAACCATTATTACCAAGTGTACAATCTTTCCCCGAGTGGTTTACCATCTACATGTATCAGTTTCTACCGGTATGCGATGATTAGTTGTGCGAAATAGTTAAAAGTATTTTTCTAAACTTCAGAGTTAATTTATTCATGTATATTTCATATCCAAAATTGTGTATAAAAATTCTATACACATGTCCCTTTGAGGAATTATTTACCTCACTGGACCACTTTTGAATAAATTGATCTCGTATTGTTTGTTTAATATTGGAGCTTATCCATTTAAATATTGACACCCTGTTCTCGACATACATTTGATAAACCATATCTGTTACAAATTTTCTGTGTACCATCTAACCATGGGTTTGTTAAATTTTCATCAAAAATGCATTTTCAGCAGATATTTCTACAATATAAATACTAGGGTTTTTTTCTGGGCCAATAAAAAGATGGTTCAATATGAAATCATTCTAGAATACACCGAGATGTATAAAGGAAAACGACTTGTTTCGCCATACACCAAGTATGCTGGCGTGCTTTAAAATTTCAAATGTAAACTTCTAATAACATCAAGATTTTCATAGCCTCATACTTCAGAACCGTATAGTATAACTGGACTACTACAACTTTATCAATAAGATAGAACTGGAAGTCAATTAGTAATTCAAATTGCTTTTTTTCTTTTGATGCCGCACATGACATTTTGTGCTTGTTCCAGCATATACATGTACTTTTTTGTTTGACAAAAAGAATTTCCTGAGCACGAAAATAAAACACCGAAATAATTAAATTCTTTAACATTTTCAATAACTAACTTGTAATAATATTAATAAAATTTTATCTTTTGACATTATATAATGACTCTTTGAAAATACTAGAATTTTTGTTTCTTCTACGTTTACTTTCAACTTCCATTGTAAACAAAATATTTGAAATTCCTTTAGTGCCTGTTGTAATTCAGGAGCAGATTCAGCCATGATAACAGTGTCATCTGTATAGAAACGAACCAGCAGTCTAAAATACACCAGTAATTCATTCTCCATGGCACTTGTAATACGTTGTAAACCCACTACTTCTTGTTCAATAAAAAAACCTTCAAGATCATTTACTTGTATATACATTGAGAATAAAAATCTATACTTATAAATCAAGTTAATAAATTTTGCAAATAAACTCCGAAAAGGGTGCACCAGAGTTCTTAATTACTCCTCTAATAATACACTGTATACAAGATGATGTCCGTAAACTATATTTAGATTTCACTCAAATAGTAAGTATCGTACATAAAATTAAAAGTCTACTTTCATTTCCTATAAATAGCCATGAAATAGGAAAAACGTGAGTACGATGGCGTTTCCGGTTGGTGGATCTAAGTTACTGGCAATTTTTAATGAAACTGACAACAAGCAATCGTTTATTTATTTCATAAAACGTCATCACTGAATTATTCGATCAAAACTTGATTTAAATGATATAAAAGAAATATGTTGTGATAACCGATTAAAAAGGGAAGTGTGCAAATTATTTTCGTCATTCACCGATCTTAATATTGACGGAAGCTTCTAGAACCTCATATAGCATCGAGCCCGATGTTAAAAAGAAAAAAAAAACAAGTCAATTATAGCTCCATGAACATAAAAAAGCTTTTGTTTGAATGGTCATTGAAATAATGGTAAATCATTGATAACACTATAAGTTGTGAATATATTTATAGCGAAAGACATTACATATATGTAGTAGGTTTTCCTAATAAATTTATCGGTAACCGAGAGCATCGTGGCAACGAACCCGAAGTACAATTTGTCAATTTGTACTTCGTAATAAACTTGCTTACATGAAAAGAGAAAATTAATAAATAAGGTATTGTTCAAATACAATTAAAGCTGTAAAATTTTGTGCTTTAATCAATACATTTCAGGTTTTTCTGAATGCAGTCTTTTGTATCAAATACTCGGCCTATT